AATATAATCCAGTAACAAAAAAACAAACTATCTAGAAAATAATCAAGTGCGACTGTTCGTGGTAGACCAGCTGCATATCCAGCATATATAATCATTGTTGGAAATGATATACACAAATAGAGTGCCGATATTGGTAGTAGTTGAACTGCCATTTTCTTATAGTTTCTCCATTCAACTCTTTGATGCACGTGATATCTATGATAAATTACACGCACAAGAAGAGCCACACTAAATATAATCACAATAAATGTCGGCAGTATATAGTGGAAAATACTATCCAACAGTCCAATCCAACTAATCAAAAGAATACAGGAGTAACGACCACATTGTTTCTTATCGTATTGGAATGGATAACTACATGGTAGAATGAGTATTGTGACACAATAAAATATCAGAGGCCAAATAATACATATAATCATAGGAAAATAATGAAAAAAAAAGCGCTTTCTTACTGTTGCAAACCAATTAGAGTAAAATATAAGAATATGTCGCTCGATTGATGCCCATGCCATCAAAATAAAATTTATTGCCAATCCAGAGTCACTAATAAATAACCAACCTTGACAAAATGCAGGTGTAGATGATAGAGCAATGCCAGTGTACAAAAAATAGGCAGTCCATATAACATCTGTAACACTTGAGATAAGACCACAACATAAAAGCAGAATAATGACATGATTGTTGAGAGCTATTCGAAGTGTTCGATTACTGAAAAGATGATAGAGATTGAAGATTGCAACTATAATAGATGGGATGAGTGGGACTAGCAGAAGCCATGAGCGAATTATAGCAGAGAGTACCATTGCAACTATTGTTTGTACTTGATATTCACTTAAAAGTAAAAGAAAAATATTGAATTAAAGAGTGAGAGAAAATGCAATTAGAGTTCGAATGCAGATCAACATAAAATATCACATTAATAAAAATGTTCGCAAATAACATTCTTTACAACATTTTATTATCTATCTTTCTGATCTTCTAAATTAATTTTTTTTTCTACCGGATATTATAAAAACACTAAATCATAGAAGATGAAAAAACTCATTATCATATTTAGAACTTATGGCAAAAAAGACACACTATTGTAAATATATAAAGAAATGAATTTTTAATGAAAGAAAAAAATATAATATAGATAATAATAGACTGAATAAGCCGATGTTTATTATGTTTCGAGGGTAACAACTCATTCAATGAAGATATCTCATAAATATCAATTAAATCATTATTATCAAGATATATACAACTAAAACACAAGGATTTTATCTAAATCTATCACTTTAGCAGCGATACAATACATTGAAGATCTATAATTTAAATATTTATTTGCACAGATTGAACTTTTTTCTCGAACGAGTCTATGAAGTGTTCTTGAATGAAATGTCATTATGCACTACTCAAATCCTTTTCTCATATGAATCATCAGTCATCCGGATTATTCTTTAATGTCAAATGTACAAGAAGTAACTTGAAAAAAAATAAGTGTGAAATAATAATACAAATAATCCGAGAATTGATATACAGGTTGATCTCATTAACTTTAATAGCTTTTCATGATTTGCTGTATTTCAGCGGAACAATGAAAGTTTCTTATTCTAGTATCGTAAGATAGAGCATCACTTACTCTATCGATCCATACTATTTGCATTCTATTTTCTCTAGCTTTATATAGAAAAATCATTTGATCTCTAACAAGTACAAAAAAATACTTTTGCACTTTTGTTTACATCAAATTTTTTTATATTTCACCATGAATATATATAAAAACAAAGTACAATTACAAACGATGTTGATATGACAACCTCGAGTATTATATATCTTTAAAAGTCTTTTCGACCATGAAGCTAATACTTTGTTAATAAAATTTGATTCCATCTTTTTCCATTCAATTAAAAGTTTTTTTTTCAATTCGTCGAGAGATTTTGATTCTATTTCGTTTAGTCGTTGTTTCATATATCCGCATATTGGATACTCCATCGGAGCAGCATCAGGACTACTCGCCATTCATTATTCTGGTTTGATATAATTAATTTTGCTTTTGTGCCTGCTGTAAAAGTTGCAAGATACGTCGTTTGATAGTATCGGAAATTTTATTACGTGTCATTTACATTCATTTTGATGATAAAAATGATTTTTATACAAAAAAATGGATATCTCGTATATTAAATAAGAATTTGAAATATTTATTACTCTTATCATATTAATTAAAAGCATAAATAAAAACAAAATCATTAAGACAAAATTTCATGAATAGAAGAAAATAGAAATGTGAATAATTCTTATCGTCTCAATTTTAAAACATTTTTTACAACAAACTCTTCATATCGACAACGAATTTATTGAAATATTTCAAAAACGCTCATCAAAATACGACAACGATAGATTTATTTTTTAAGGATAAGACAAAAATTCATAAATGTAAAGAGAAATTAAATGTTTATGAACACAAAACTATGAGATTCAACAAATTTTATTAATTGTTAACAACTATTCATGATCTTAAATAGTCACAGATCATCATATTCGTAACATTTTTATAAAAGTATCTTAATAATTTCTTTTTTCCATTTATCATTCAGTCACGGCGGCAGTGATCAATTTTTAAAACTCGATGTAGATCTCAAATAGATTCTACCCTCTATCATAATAAAAATATCAGTTAATCCCATCATTTTCTTCACAATAGGTAAAAACATTTTTTTTATTTTGAAATGATTTATGATCTTCTATCTCAATTTAATTTTATAATAAATAGTTTTTATTTTTCAATAAGTTTCTTTTGTAAAATCGGCATTTGAATGAAAATCGATATTCTCATTTGAACGATCAAGACATCTCTTTAATTACTAATGTAAATTGAATATATGATCATATTCTCAACGAAAAACTATTTTTTAATCAAACTGGCAGAAGAATTTCAAATTTTTCCTATCAAAAATTGAATTTCTCAACAGAACTAGTCATGTCACTTGAAAAAATTGAATTATTCTAGAGAATTTATATTCAAACTGAAAAAATAGAAAATCTACAAAACAATAAATATTGATCACATCGAAATTTAGTTTTAAACTCAAATCTGTGACATTATTGTAATTCCAAAAAGAATTATTCAAATTTCCAATAATGACAAAAATAGTGAATCTTTAGAATAAATAATATTAAATGTGAGAATATTATTTTACATGACAACTAATTAAATTTCAACGAAAAAAAACGATCTCTTCAAATCTACACGCAAATATCTTTTTTTATTAAATAATAAATTAAATTCTCTATTCAACTCATCACATGGAGAGAAAATTTAAAGAAAATAGTAGTTCGTTCACAATTTCTTATTTGTGGGTGGGTCTCGTCTTCTCTATCATCTTCACGCACACCCACACCCACACCCTCAAGATGGTCTTAGGGATGAAATAAAACTATGGGTCAAGCTCACTATATCTATTTGAGCTACCTCGTGAAACTCTCACTTTTATGGTTAATAAAACTCCGCTCGAATGCCGATCTGATTATGAGTCTACAAGAAGCGACTTGACAGGACATAATTCTTGAAATGAAAATATTGCAAAAAGATGTCTTCTATCGTACTTGTATTATTTTAGAGCCTCAACAGATCAAAACGTCGTCGATAACAGTATGTTGAATCAACAGGCTTTAAAGTTTGAGTATTCGTTATTATTATAGATAAACGAAACGACTTCAATAGTATCTTATGATGACCTATATCAAAAGTTATACTCGTATCGTGATGCTGCAAAATTGACACAAGTTGGTCTTGTTGCTGAAGAATTTTTGCAATGGTTAGGTGCAGAGGGTAATGATGCTGGCTCAATACCTGATCTGATCCCCGCTTATTTAGAATATCGAATGAACAGTGATCCTTACTATAACAAAGAAGCTGTTGAAGCACAACTAAGGACATTGGGTTTAAATTCAAGCTGTGTCACATTCATGTGTGCACAAGCTGCGAAACTTACCAATGATAATCAACAAGATGCATTCTTTTGTGCTCTTCAATACTGTCTACATCAGTTTTCCGTCATATTCGAAATACCACTTAAACCACCAATAACGAGTGGACCGTTAAATCAAATACAACCACTGGATATTAAAGTGGCAAAAGATCTTTTATCTATACTGTTCGAGACAATTCAAATTAAAAATTTTTATACAAATAATATACAGATCGGTCTGAAAGAAACTGGGATGAAAGAATTCTTTACTAACACCAAACTGTTATTTCATGCAACCGCAGCGCACTATGCAGCTTCTATTGTTCGCAACGGTATTGATGCTACAAGTACACGTATAAATTTAGATCTTGGGCCAGAATTTTATCTTAATACACATTTCAGAGATGCTAAAGATTGGTGTATGTCCCGTTTTGCACCAACCTGCAATGGTCAAGCTGCAATATTTATTTTTCAAGTACCAAAAGACATTTATGATGAATGGAATATCCATCAGCTTGATTATCGATCGCGAAGAAACGATTTAAATAATCTAACTGAATGGGAACACTTCGTTAAGAAATGTCGCGCTGGAATCAGAAATAATCGAATAATTGGTAGTTACGACGGATTTGAGGGTCCACAATGCGCGAATCCTAGAGATCTTCTCAATGAGGCTTCAGAAATACGTCCAGAAATACGTCGCACAAATGAAGCCAGACCTAGGGAGGCTTGGCAAATCAGTATACATTCATCTGGGATACAAGCACACGTAATCAACTATCTAAAGGGTGTAATAACATTCACAAACATTTAATTTAATTTTTTCTTCATATCTTCATTATTGTATACCGTTCTTATCTTGCATCCACGCTAACCCATTGATAAATTTAAGTCAAAATCGATGTTTTTGTTTCGTACGAAGAACTAAGTTGTATTGCAAAAGCGAGCTGAATACTCTTCTGTTAAAAAATGTTTATATATTACTGGGAAAAACTATTTTGAAGGGCAGTTTATAGAAGATAAGATTTAAAACATCATACGTTACATTTAGACAGTTGCTTCGGCGTCGGTATGGGTGTGAGTAGCTGTTTTTCATTTACAGTAAAATCTATACCTCAACCACACCCATACCCACCCACCCACACTCACACCCACACCCTGAGTAACAAATGTAAAATTAGTACAAATTTTTAAATCTGCTGCGTCAAAATAATTTTAAATCAGTATTCGCCAAAATTTTGAAAATTTCTACAAATTTTAGCTAAGATGAGTATCGTCACGTATTATATCAGATCTTATAATTTCAAGAATAATCAGCAGATCAGAAATATATACTCATCTTCATTGTTAGTAATCATAATATCAGAAATTTACTATTTTTTTTGTTCTTACCAGAAAGCTTGAAGAAAACTCGAAGTATCTTTATGAAATACTTTTCAAAAATTGTCTAGATGGAAATTTTACGGTGGAAATGAAATTATGAAAACCAAAATATAATAAATAGAAAAAAGGAGTATTTATTGAAGTTTAAAGTGAAAAGATATAGAAAAAAGAAAGTTTAGTGAGTGGGTGTGTGAGTATGGTTGAGGGTATGCATGGGTGTATTTTTTAATTAATTACATCCACATCTACACCCACACCCTCAAGAGGCTCATGTTGGATTGTTTAAAAGGAATTAATCTCTTTCGAGAAATGTTAATGAATAATGACATATATGGCAAAAATCTCATCGTCACCATTTTATCTGTAGCAGTAAGGATTAAAGCCACCGTTGTTTCTGGAATTCCACGAATATTCTCGTTGACCGAGCAGAAGCAGCTCTTGTGCTCTCGCTTCCAGCGCACCATCAGCTGGAGCGAAGCGAGCTCGTACATCCATGCCTCGGATAGCAGCCTGATGCATTGGTAAGGCAAGATTGTCCCGTCCGCCACGACAGTGCTCGTCGAGTCGTCGACTCAGATCATTCGACATGCCAGAATACTGAGTTGTGGGTCTTCCCATGCCTGGCATAGTCATCAATTGATAAACACCTAAAAATCATCCGAACAATGAAAGACTATGGTACAAAGAGAGGTGATTTACCTGGACCAGTATGTGCATCGATGCCATTGTAATATTGGGAACGACCTTGAGTTAGTACCTGCGAGGGTCCAAAAGTAGGCTGTTGAAACAAATCAAATCGCCTGTCTCTGGAACCGTCGTAATTGAGCACTTGCGGCATGCCATAACGTCGATCACGTTCGCCATCATTTCTCTGTACCCATCCGATATCTTTCAATGTTCGTGACATTATGCAGAAAAGTTGTACTGTGATCAACTGTTAGCAAAGTTTCTGTAGTGTGAAGGTTGCAGAGAATTTGTGGCTGATTTATATGTGCTCGGAGTGGGTAATTTCCCAGTTTGTCATTACAGCATAACGCTTGCACGTCATTGTTTTCTTCCTGAGATTTGGTGACGTCATTTGTTTTTGGATGACGCCATTATTCTCACAGTGAGAAAGCAAAGAATTTTTGTTGCTTCTGTTGAAGCATTTTATCGACAGAGAGTAGAAGGTAACGGCTCCAAACAAAGATGAAACATAAAAACGATCATACGTATCGATGGATGGGTGGATGTGAGTGTGAGTATTACATTTATATTCCATGTACATCCACACCCACACCCACACCCTCTATTCCCTCACCTTGCGTAGCTCTTTTATTTAGTTGTGCAACTTGGTAACGAACCCAGCGGTTGTTTTTTTGTTTACTGTTAATACCTGCCTGCCGTACAGTCGCTTTTGCATCAAAGAAAAAAATTCAGGTATTTCTATTTTGTTATTTTTTCTCCGTTTCATAATGCAAAGTAAAGCTCAATTCATCACGATTGTTTTTTTCTCCTTCGTGGCAATAGAATCGACCACAATGCGTCATCGTCAAGTAAAACAGCGAATGGGTTAGCAAACAGACATTTATGCTTCACGAATATTGTAAAAGTACATTGATACAATGTATAGAAACTCTCTTGATAATTTCTTTTTCTCCATTTATCAGTGTTACACGACGGCAATGATCAATTTTTAACTTCAATGTAGATCTCGGAAAGATTTTATCCTTCATCACAATAAAAATATTTCTTATTTTAAAATGATTTATGATCTTCTACCTCAATTTATTTTTAGGATAAATATTTTTTATTTTCCAATAATTTTCTTTTGTAAAATAGGCATTTGAATAAAAATAATTCTTTACACAAAGTTAATAAAAATCGATATTCTCATTTAACTGATCAACACATCTCTTTAACTACTACTATAAATTGAATAGATGATCATATTCTCAACGAAAAACTATTTTTCAATCAAACTGAACAAACAGAAACTCTACAAAACAATAAATATTTATCATATCGAAATTTTAGTTTTAAACTCAAATCTGAGACATTATTTTAATTTCAAAAAGAATTATTCAAATTATCAGCAATGACAAAACAAAGTGAATCTTTACAATGAATAATATTAAATGTGAGAATATTATTTTATATGGAAATTAATCAAACTTCAAAGAAACGAAAAGAATTTCTTCAAATCTGAACACAAATATCTTTTCTATTACATAATAAATAAAATTCTCTATTCAACTCATCACATGCAGAGAAAATTTAAAGAAAACAGTAGTTCGTTCAAAATTTCTTATTTGTGGGTGGGTCTCGTCTTCTCTATCATCTTCACGCACACCTACACCCACACCCACCCAACCACACCCACACCCGCACCTACACTCGCACCCTATTCATTATATTTCTCTTCGCAACTCACTTATTTACACATACTTCATTTTCACTGACTGTGTACATACAAGTACGGAAAAAAAGATGGCAACTATAATAATCATATATGAAAGTTTGTTTTCTTCGTTGTCAATGTACTTTTTTTTGTTGATCTCTTTCGCACTTTGTATTTACATTTTTAAAAGCATCTATAAAAGAATACAATCATTTGCCATTAAATAATAGCTGTGTCGTCAATAAACATTCTTTTAGCAGAATGATTTTGAATTTATAGAAGCCACATGGATACTGTCGATAATGGCTTTTCATTTTTATGGTTAAACCAACAGCAATAATTTATGTCTTCTACACATTCTTGCTGATTTTTAAACTGCATAGTCTATGAATATAAGCAAAAGAAAAGATTTATACAATCTATTCTTAATATGAGATTGAATGTGTCCACTAATTCTATAATATGCACAAAATAACTTCTGGTGTGAGTGTCTCTTCTTCAACAACATCCACATTCACCCACCAATCCACTCACACTAACACCCACAGCCACATCCACTCACACTCAAATAATGTAAGTAATGTCCCGTTGCAACGTCAATCAGCCTTTTTAGACTGTCGGCTACGGTCACGGAAATAAAAATAAAAATATAGCAACCAGATATTCCGCTATTAACTACTCGCAGAACCATAAATTTATCTCATCCTATTGTGATGCCTGACGACAATAGGTCCTCTAAGCAGTCTAACAACTGATTAAACTTTCCTTTTTCAGTATGATAACATGCTGCAACAAATAAAGTCAGTTAAACTCATCGGTTTGTTCAAGGATTACAAAGCTACAGACGAAAAATTAAAGTTCGAACAGCTCACTCTGATTTATGGAAAAAACGGAGTCGGTAAATCAACGATAACGGCGTTGCTTCGGTCTTTGAAGGGTGATAGTCTTGATATAGACCTGCCCAATAGAAAAACGATATCATCAGACGCAGCTCACGAGTTAATGGGAGCTGAAATAGTTGATGAATTTCAGAATTTCTACAAATACAGCGTTCACGAAACCAGTACTATTTTAATAGAAAATAGCGAAAAAAATTTTTATGGTGGTGAATGGACTTCATCGTTTCTCAATCTGGAAATTTTTGACGATAAATTTGTGGAAGAAATTGAATCTCTGAATATGGAAAACATTTTCTGGAAAATGGATAATTGCAGCAAACTTAAAGAAAAAGTTGCAGAACAGCATCAAATATTACAGAATTACGCGAGCGAAGAGCAGAAGAGTACATTCCTGAAGACGGTGAGAGGATCCAACCCACCGATCAATATCGTTTCAGGTGAATTTTATGCCAATAGTTCGGCAAGCTCTCTCCGAATTCGGTCTAATCGAAATGATACTGAAGAGAATGCGGCTGTTGCAGATCAAATTCAAAAGCCTTTCGATGCCATATCAAACGTTGAAGAATTAGAGATCACGGAAGAAGTAGCTCAATATCGAGAGAACCATCAGGTTATCCTTGGTATGTAATATTGGGAGAGGGGCGGGAGTGAAATTATGGTCGATATGGCTATAAGTATGAATGAATATGGTGTGGGTGTGGGTTTGGGTCGGTGGTAGTGTTTGGCTGTGTAAAGCACCGTTACCAACATCGCAAGTGCACACCCACACCCACACCCATTTCTAGAGCTAGTACAAATGTCTAGGCGAATCCGGACAGGAAATACTTGAATATCGTGCTAACTTTTCTTACGTAAAATATATCAAAAAGCAGGGTAGTGAAGTCGAGATTTTTGCTGATAAGTCTATGAAAATCTCATTGTTCTGGAAAAACCTATATATATTCGGAAAGAGGAAACTCCAGCGCATCTTTCTATGCAAAAACGGAAAAGAGACGTTTCGCACCCACTTTTTTTGCGGCTTCCCCTGGAAAATGTTCGTTATTATCTCCCGACATATAAATACATACAGGATGTTCGGAATGACGAAATTGAAAATTTGCGGCGGTGCTCGGAATGACAGCTGTCCAGTAGATCGTAACAGACAGCAGTATTTTTTGATAAAAAAAACTGAAATTTGTGTGGATTTCAGGATGAAAGTGACCGGAAGATCGTAACAACAAAGTTGAAGATTGTATAATGAAAGGACACAGGATGTTCGTAACTATATTCTTGCATACACTTTTTAAAGAGATCTTAAGTGACACAGTAGCTTATATTTTAAGATGATAAACAAAACAATGTTCTAATGAATACAAGAAAACTTTTTCAACATAGAGAAAGACACAGGAAATAGCATGAATAATCAAACGAAATACACAAAATAGAGAACAAGATCATAAAAAAGAACAGAAACATTTGTTTTAATGTTAATAAAAAATAAGAACCTCTATCATAAGAAGAAGACTAAGATGTGCAAGTAAACTAAATTTTATTCTTTCACTCGTTTACTTGTTGTACCATAATTTTTAGCTTTCATTACTTTACCATTTGTTGATGTAGTAGTGTTGAGGATGTGAATGTGGGTGTTGGTATGAGTGTAAATGTGAGTGTGGTTGCATAATACTTTTATCAACACCCACACCCTAGTATTTACATTCTCGTAAAGATTAGTGCCCTCTATAAGTATTATGATATATTTACGCTCTCCAGGTAAAATGAGCTCACGGACACCCGGTCATTTTCATCTCGATTTACTGACAGTATTTTACATACTGTCGACCATTTTATTCCGATTTCCCTGTATTTTCTTATAATTACGATCATCTGACAAACATGTGTTACGGACAGCCGGTAAACATTTTCAAAGAAAAAATCAATTCCGAACACTGCAACAAATTACCGGGTGTCCGGGACACTCAGTACGAAATGTCTTTGTCTGCAATGAACTCGATTTTGATTTTTCTTCGAAAAAGTGCTTTTTCGAAGGGGAAGATCCCCTAGTGCAGTATCACTCATTAAGTTGCAAAGTTTAACGCATTTTAACGTAATGAAAGAAATTAAACGCGTATTACCTCCTTAAAGTGTACACTTTTCCAGATTTTATTTTCATCAAAATTTCAACGTTTTTACGCGTTTTCTTTTGTGCTTATCTACCTGGCTACGCTTACCACCAACGTTGCGGAAGAGAAATGATCTCGCGTTTATGAAAATATCTCTCAGATTTAAGAAAGCTTAATAGAAAAACGTAAAAACTTTCTTCTCAACCTAATAATTCAGTATTGAAAAGTGGATCGAAAGAGGTTATTACTCAGATAGACAAGCACCAAAAGAAAACGCGGAAAAAACGTTGATATTTTGACGAAAAAAAATCTGGAAAAACGCACACTTTAACGAGTTAATACGCGTTTTATATTTTCATAACGTTAAAACGCGTTCAACTTTGCAGCTTAACGAGTGATACTACGTTAAATCTTGCAAAATAACCTGTCATTACGAAGAAAATTTGAAGGCAATAAAATATTTATGCGTACAAACGTATTAAAGATTCATTAAAACGACGTTTTAATGATTGTGAGCTGTTAAATCGGC